CGGGTCACCCGCGGCTCCCAGCCCTCTATACACACCGGTTTGTCTGTCTCTCTGTCCGTCTGTCCTGGCGCGCAACCTCCGGCCACCGGCTTGGATGGACGCGCGGAGGCTGCCCGGGTGTCCAGGGGTCTTGCTTCCGAAGTTGGTCCTGCTCTTTGTTTACGCAGGTCAGTGACCTAGGGCTACGGGAGAGGGGAAGGGGGCTCGGGGCTGCGCTGGGGTCACACTCCGGCCACCGCGGGTTGGGCGGGACGCACGGGAGGCGTCGTGGGAGGTCAGACTGTGCGGTCCCCGCCGGGATGGAGCAGAGCCCGCGCCCGTGCGCGGGAGCCCTCGCTCGAACTCCACACGGTTGTGTTTGTTTCTTTCCTTCAACGTTTCTTTTCTTTTCTTCTTCATTTCCTTTTCCTTTCTCTCTCTGCGCAAAGCAACCAACCCCAACCCCACATTTAGGGGATTTTATTTTCAAGATAAAGTGAAAAATTTCCAAGTGCATCCAAGACTTAGGAATCTAGGGTGAGTGGAGGCTGAGCAGAGGGAGAAAGGCACTTTTTTTTAAAAAAACATCTTAAATGTAGGGGTTTCTCTGAGATTTTCAAATAAACTAATCTGGTGACTTTTCCAGTTCAGTAAGTGCTACCCACTGCCCCCTCCACCTCCACATTCTCAATATTCCAGGTTTTCCCTTTTAGACATGAGAAGCCTTAGATCTGTTTTCGTTCTTAGGATGATTCTCAAGTGTGGTGGACAGGGTAACTGGAAGTTCTGAGTTGAAATATAAGGTTTTTTGAGAGGCATAAATTCACCCAGAATCTAATCCGTTTTCTGTGAATTCATTACTCACTTGTTTGTAGGGGAAGGACATCTCATTTCCCTCATTCCTGATTACTCTTAGTGAGAATTGCTAATAATTGATGAAGGAAAGCGGTTTTCTTGTTTTGTGACTGATGTGGAGCCCAAAATAGCCTTTCATTGGTTACTCATGTATAGAATTAATTACACATAAGGTTTGCATCTGCTCCATAGTTCAAAAACAGAATAAAAGCAAAGTTCTTCGTAAATGTTTTCAGGTCTCTCACTTCCTAGAACAGGAACCACAGGCTTACCTATGACCTTGCAATACTAAGTTTGCGTATAGCACTGTGATTTACCTTTTGATACTTAGAAAAAGTACTGCAACCGATGTGAAGATGTTCATTCAACATTCATACCTTCAACATCAATAGAATTGAATTCCTCATTCAGCCTGGCCAGAAATGAGTCACAATAACTTCTGTAGAAATTTCCAATCTGTTTATTAAAATGTAAATTTGTGGCTGCCTGTAAGTTGTTTTAAAGATATTCTATGCTGACCTTCAGATAGAGAAATTAATAAAAGTAGTAAAAGTACTTTCTATTAAATGGGAATCTACATTCTAATGTGCTTCCTACACGTTTCTTTTACTTAAGTTGTATAAGATTTTCAGAATTTGAGAGACCAACAGAATCAATTGCATTAATATTCATTTTATATTAAAATCTCTATCACTTCATGTGAAGCAATGATAATTCTTTCCGTCTCCTCTGTTTATCAAAGGAAAATGAAATAAGCAAATAGAACACAGCAAATGAAATTTTAATACCTTCACTTGCCTTTAATTGCACCATTGGACACCTTTTTCTTGTTCTTTCATCTATTTTATTTCCTTTGGTGTGCTGAAATCTAATTTGCACACTTTCCCTTCCCTTTTTACATGGGCCCCCAGTGTTAGGTGCACAGCAACCCAGGATTCAGGAAACCCACACAGCTGGCCAGCAGCAAGCTTACCGGTTTAGAAAGTTTTCACTCCACTCATTTCTTCTGTCCATCCATATCCCTCCCTAGGAAGCTGCAAAGCCATTGCCAGCCAATACCAGGTCAGTTTATCATCTTTGATAAGAAATGATTAACTAGTGTGCTTTTGGTATTAATTCCTGAACTCTTTATTTCAGAGGCTTTTTTATGCTTGCCACGTTCACTCGACTAATACCTCTTGAATGAGAGCTGTTGAGTGATACAGTGGCCAGGCTGAGTCTTTTCTGGTAGATAAGGTGTGCCCATTACTCAAAGGTGTAAAAGGTTGTGTTATGGGAGAGATACAGTCACATGCTACAGCTGTTCAAGGGAGGGGAGTTTATCGATTAACCAGTTTATCGCTGGTTTAGGAGTTTATGCTCTGTGAAGATGATGGCTGTTTTGGTCAGCATAGTGGTCTCAGAGCCTCGCAGAATGCCTGGCCCGTAAGAAGACTTCAATAAATATCTGTTCAGAGAAGTTGAATTGAGAAGGACTTTTAAGAACTAGACCTTTGAAGTATAAGGAAGCCCTGGACGGAAGATGGGGTAGGATGTAGTGTGAACAAAGGCAAAAATCATGAGACGTGTACATACACAAACAGATAGTACAGTTGGGGGGAGACGAGAGAACACTGCAGAAATAGAAATAATCTGGACCCCCTGTTAAGTGAATTGCCAGCTTTAATGGGACATAAAGATATGTAGGTGCAACTCTCCGTAACCTGAATTATGTTCCCCAAGGAAATTGCAGAAAGTTCACATTCCATTGGTTTAAGTAAGAGCAAGGTTTCTATACCTGAAGCATGGTGTTTTACTGAGGAGTCACATTTGGAAAGAGACCGGTGAAGTGTTTACATTAATACCCAACTCCCACTGCAGGCTATAAAGACAGGATTTGGCCAAGGTTTTAACCTTCCTGGCCTTCGCCAGTGATTTTTTGTCCCCTCCCTTTCCTTCCTTTCTTATCCTTAGATGCAGATTGCAAGAGCCAATTCTGAGCAAGTGTTTGGAGCCAGATGTTTTCCTGTACTACACATTCCTCAAGATGGGGTGGGAGTGGGGCCGCTCCTTCCAGATCATGCCTTTAATTCAAGTCATTCAAGAAAATGTGAACTGGCTAATTTTCAAGAGTATTAATTTGACCATGCGAAGTAATATTTATCTTCTGAGAGCAATTGGGATGTTTCATTCTTTTACAAGTGAGAAAGTACTTCTGTATTGTCCAAGCCGTGATCTTTTAGGATTATTCTCAAATAAACCGGAGAAAGCCCACTCACATGTCAAAATAAGTTTTGAGGTGCGGTCGAAACTCCAGTTTGGAAATGTTGTGATTGCAAATGTATTCACCATACTCCATCTTCCCTTATCAGTTGTTTAATTCGGGGAAATAGAGAAGAGGGCTGGAAAATGCCATAAAAATAATGAACAATGTTTGCTGCAGGTATAATTTAGCTTCTTGGCTACAAGATTTTGGGCTTGGTTTCCTGTAACATTGGCTCAAAATATTTTGATAACACATGTCCTTATAAGAGTAGTAATTGAATCTTTGATAATCACGAAGAGCTTAGTAAGATGCCACTGTCTGGGGTATCTTTCAAAAGGAATCGTATGAAGCTACTTAAAAATCACTTATTCTGCTCTAACAAAATAAGGGAGATGTCAGCTCTCCCACTATCTGAATGGCTTTTAAGAACAGGAAGCAAAACATCCCAGCTAAGCGCTTGAGATAACTGCTTAGTCTAAATATTTAAATTAATTAAACAATTCTGAAAATGAGAGCTATAGAAATTCACTGGGAAAATGATAAACTGCAAAAAAATATACACTATCAGGAAATCATTAGGCTGTGTTTCTTGTCTTCAAAATTTTAATGTGGATTTAAGTAGTTACTGAATCTTACAGAGGTGATTATTTTTCCCTTTCATTTCTTCTTACCACATCCCAGAAGAAAAAAAACATTTAAGTTTGTTCATTTATGAAGTAGAAATAAAATTGAGTGAAAGAAAATGTGAAATCTTCACTTGTTCCACAAAGGGCATGCATTATTGATAAAGGTGAATGAACATTGCTAACATTTGATTATATCAATTTGTAAAGAATCATATTGGCAGGGAGGTGATTTAAAAGCAAAATCTTAATTTTTCTCTTTGGCCAAATCTATAATGTGGACATGTAGGCATAAATAAAACATTTGCACTTTTACGTTATGCTTTTGACAGAAAGCAATAGTCGTATAATTTAGATAATAGTTGATATGACCTTCAGAGATTGAGTTTGGAAATGACTTATTTTGTAATTCTTGAACATGTAACTTAAACTTGTCAGACTATAGTTAATGTGTGTACCTAAAACTCATATATCCATTACTGATTATAGCTAAATAACTTTAACTTGCTAAACATAAATTATTTAGATGGAATAAACACTATTTTAAAGGTAAGATAACTTTTAAGCCACCATTTTTGGTATAATTTTCCTTGCCAAAAACATGAAAAGTAATTTGATCTTGTCAGCTCCAATATGGCCTTTTTAATCGGAAAATACTTTTTCTCCTTCACATAGTGCTGTTTCATAGTTTATTGATTCTTAAATCTGACATCAAATAAACTCTTAATTATTCACAAGTTAATTATCTATGGGAACATTTTCCTATAGCTAACTCATTATCTCCCAATCCAAATGGATTGACAGGATACGCAGACTCATTTGTGTTACCATATGTATGCAAACTATAATTATAAAGGTAAAAAATGGTAAAGAAAGGAAAGCATATACTGCATTGTCATGAAAAATATACATTAGTTAGAGATTATCTCCAGTTGACGATTCATGTCAATAAAACTTTCCATTAAATGTAGTCAAGAGTAATACCCTAAAGTCAAAAGACTTTATCATTTAAAAAATATTATAAGAACTCTATTGACAAAATGAATGTCTGATTAGTTGGATCATTCATTCTTCCCCTTCATTGTCTCATTCAACCAAATCTGACTGCCAATTATGGTGCTTGATACAGGAGATTCAAATAATGGTCTTTGCCTTTTCTACTGTTATGTCTAATAAGGAAGGAAGACAGGTTTAGACGTGCTTACAAATGTTTTAGAATTCTGAGTAAGAACTCTAAATGTGCTAAAGAGTAACCATTGACCAATTAAGATATGAAATAGAGTAATTTTTTGTGCAGTAGTGGTTTCAGAACTGTAACTACATGGATGTGGTTTTTATTTTGTAGAGGATTGCCTTGCTCAGTGTGGCAAAGACTGCAAATCTTACTGCTGTGATGGAACCACGCCCTACTGTTGCTCCTACTATGCCTATATTGGGAATATTCTTTCGTGAGTATTAGTTAAATTTGGCAATATTGACACTCTTTCCTTTGGCCAGTTACGTTTTCAAAAAATACTAAGTTACAGGTATGGGTAGAAAATTTTAAGATTTGTGGTTGGCCTAAAAGTTTTACTGGTTATACTCAATGCTTCTCACTATCTAGTATGTTATATTATTTAACTAAATGTGCAAATTAATATACAAAATAATGTGCCTTTATTAGAATGGAGTTTAAAGAATGTTCTTTTACTGCCTCATTTGTGTTTTATAATAATAATAATGTCTTAAGTCGGCCATGTTCATATTCTTGCTCATTTTTTAACATTGTAAGCTGTATGTTTTTGTCTGCTTTGTTGAAGGATTTGTAGGTTAGACTTTGTCATTTAATGATAGCCAGTTTATTTCACCACCTATATAGTTGTCTGACTCATCCAGTAGATATCAGGGAAAATAAACATTATGAATAAAAAACAGTTGAGATATGAAATGTCAGTTTTCTACATAATGCTTACAACGCAGCTTGAGGAAAAAAGATCAGAGCCCAAGAAAGGCTGGGCATCAACCGTATAGGGAGAGATCCAACTACAAAAGTCAATGAAACATACACACGTAGACTGTGTTAAGCATTTCCCTGTAACAAATTAAACATTTATTTAAGAGATGCTTATGGGCTAAGGGAAATGGATAAGCAGGAACTGTCTTCAGAGTTGTACGTCTGAAGACTGTGTGCCTCTGTGTTCCTCTACACACACCTTCAAGTTGAGAGATAAAAGGTAGAGAATTAGGAACATAAGAATTTCACCCATGGAAATCACCCATGGCTTTCAGAAATCTGCCTCTGTCCTCCTTTGTGTTTATTTTTCAGTTGACTGTCAGGATGATTTGAAAGCTGTTTTATTGTGATTTAACTCCTGTCCTATGAAGGCTTAAGTGGAGCACCAGGAAGATTAGACACTAAGTGATACGTGCCTGGCTATTTTAGGCATTTGTCCATTGAGATGGCTGATAAATCATCCTCCATTTCCTGAGAATAGAAAACTTGGCATCACATCAACTCTCTAGAATCAAAGTGGGGCTGATCTTAGAGATCATGTCTCTCTGAATAAGGCCAGAAAGAATCACACTTCAGGACACTACTGAAGACTGGCTATGTAAGAAAGAAGAAAAAGCCAGTTTTCATAAAGGTTGAAGAGTAGAATTTAAGCATTCTTTGAAGTGCAAATAAACTCTACATTCAAAGGTTTGAATTTTTCCTCATGGAAGACTTGGTGGAAAAAGATTAAGTCCCCTTACATTTAAAGAGTCCGCTCAGAATAGCCTACATATACATATATAATGATGCTTCACATTTGTGTATCACTTCATTTTTCCTAAGTTAATTGAAATAGTTTATTACTAAATTCAAATTTGATTTTCAAGTGGTCTCCACATGCCAGAGGCTGCTGTTCCACGTGGCTGTGCGGTGGGTCCTTCGAGTGGTATAGATTTGAGGAACCTGGGGTCAGAATATGACTGTGATTCTTTGGTCCTCTGGCTCCTGGCCCATTCCTGTGCCCCAACTACATCATGGTGTGTGTTGTGTTCCTAGTTCTCACCTCATAGATACATCCACCCTGTCAAATACATATAGAAGACATAATTACTTATAAATCGGAATTCTTAAATTTTTAAAACTTACAGATATGCTTTACATGCTTTATATTTGCAAGCAGATTCACCTTTTTATGGTGCATATTCTGTCTTTCAACTAATTTCATCACTTGGCTAAAGTAAAGAATTCGTTGAGTTTATATACTTATCTGGGTCATTAGGGCCATGTACTTGTTATGTTTGAAAAAAAGAATTGTGTTTTGTGGACAGCGGAAATAAACACAGATGGCATTATATTTCAGGCATTTAAACTGAATTTTCTGTTCAAAATAGAAACCACTAAGTAAATCCCTTGCTAAACAATTCTTAGAGAAAAAAAAAAAGAGCCTTAAAGTGTTTTCCCCATTGGATAAAGGAGAATACATTTTCAGGATTTCCAGTTATTGTTTAAGATTTGAAAAGAGTTAACTCCACCCAGAGCTTTTCTTTTCTTTTCGTTTCTTTTTTTTTTTTAAGTTAGGGTGGGGGTGGAGGGAGGAAAAAAAAATAATTCCAAGAATGCTTTAAAAAGTTCCTTCATGTACATGTTTTCAAATATTTGCTATTTTGGAAGTCATAAACTTGGAAGAGAGGATGTTGCCTCTCTTCTAAGCACCTAGGCACATTCTTAGTAAAAATCATTCTGATCATCTTAACAGAAAATTTAATCTTTGTGGTCAATAGTAAGGTAATGAGGAGGAAAGCAATAAATGCACTGGAATGTTAGGTTTTCTCAATGAATAATTTTATAAACTGGCTTTAATTTGGTTTCTGGCTTTGTTTATTTTCAAAAATAGAAAATGTCTTGGCTCAGCTTAAAAGGAGCTAAAAAGAGTACAAAATAGAATTTGGATCACTCTAGATTCTGTGTAAATGGGACGGGAAGGTATACTTGATTTTTCTTGCTGATGCCTCTCCCTAAAACAGTCAGAGTAGAGCTATTTAGCCTTGAATTCTGTTTATTTCGACTGTCCTTCTTCTGTTGCAAATTGATCATTAAGATTAGTTTTCAAAGAGATCGCAAGAGCTAACCTTTAGTTTATGTTTTAGTTTAAAAATCTTATTTTACTCAGGTCTCTTTCTTTTAGATATTTTATATTCTAAGTATGAGTTAATTTTGACAAATTCAGATTCCCCCTCCCCATCTTTTTTTTCTTTAGTTGGGAATTTTAGTATTTACTTGTGTCTCATGAAAAAATTTAAAAATTAATCTTTAAAAATAGCTGATGTACATTTTTTAATTGGGATATAATTGACATGTAACATTACATTAGTTTCGGGTATAAAATACAATTATTCAATTTTGTATATATTGCAAAATGATCACTACAATAAATCTACTTGATATAAATCTATTTAAAATAGCACACCTACTTTTGATCATTATAATCATGGATATTGATTTCCATACAGAAAAGTAATAGCATTATTTTCCAGAATTAAGAATAATTTTTGCAAAAGTCAGCATATACTATGCAATCAATTATTTACAGATGCATACTCAGTGCCCATGACCATGGCAGCAAAGGATCCAAAGATGAATAAATGATGTTCCCTGACCTTTATGATCTCACAACCTAATAAGAGAAGAAAATGTAGACAAATAATTCTAATTCAGTGGATTAATCTATGAAGTGCTATTGAAGGGTGGGGAAGAGAGGAAACAGCTAAGTATGTGTGTTTGTGTGTGTGGGGGGGTGGGTGTGTGTTTAGAAAGCGGTGTTTAGAGAAAGCATCATGAGTATGAAATTTGCACAGAGTTTTAAAGAAAGAGTAGATATTTACAGAAAAGGACAGCGAAGAAAGGGAAGAGCATTCCAGACAGAGAGAGTCTAGAGTACAAAGGCAAAGACGTAAGAAAGGAAGCGATCAGTTTGGGGAAACCCACGCTGTTCAGTGTTGCTAGAAAAGGAAGGTTAAGCTTTGAAGATAACGTACAAACAAGTAGGTCAGACAAGTAGGTCAGACAAGAGCCCCTCACCGTTACACACTTTTATTGGTCATGTCTAGCAAAACTAAAGTAAAATAATTCAGCATTTTTCTGGGAATAAGATGGCTAGTTTCATGCAGAAAAAACACATTCTTCAATACCTCTAAGACCAGGGACAAAGGTGAGAAGGTGCCAAGTGGAGATTATTTTTATTCCGTAGAGAAAATACTGGGAATGAGCACTTTGAGATGTACACTATTTAGGACCATTTATGACAGAATATACGGCTTTGGAATTATTTCTCCACTTTTGATATTTTTGATCATGAAGGTAACTATCTGACAATTGGCAACCTCACTGTGTTTGAAAATGAGAACTGGGCCAATTTCCGAAGTAAACAATTTCTCATCAAATTGATTCTCAAACATTTTATCCAGTCACTCTTCTCCATGGAAAATAAACATTCTGTGATGAATATGGAAAGGCATATTTCAGTTTTGCTGCTGATGAAATTTGACTGACATTGCCTAGAGGTAAGATCCAACATAAAGGTGTGGTTTGTAGAGTATTCTTTAGAATTTGTAGATTTCAAGGGATCAGTGGGTGCAACTGAGTGGCTAATTACTGTTAGTAATGGAAGAGACTAAAAGCAGGACTTTACTGAAAGTGAAGAAAACTGCTACATGAATAAGAGAATAATTGTACAATGTTGAACAGGAACCAAATAATGACTGAGTTGGACATCGTGAGCCAGATGACAAGAAACAAGATTCAGTCCCTTCACTCAGAAGTAAATTTTTACCTTTGCAGTTTGCTTTTGTAAAATGCAGCTCTATCTAGGGATTCTTCAGTGCACCATCTGGCCAGCACAAAATCCCCATGGGGCAAAATCAAGAGGAAGAACTAATAATGGAGATCCTGGTAGGATTAAGTTTCTTTCCTTCTCAATGAAATGTGAATGATATATTGCCTGAAGTTTTGGAAATACACCTAATAAATATCACGACTGTGATTTTAGAGCCAAGTTATGCATGAAAGCAAAACTGGGTTAAAAGATAAAGGTTTCATATTTCCAAATGGCACTTGAGGTCCTATACTCGCTAAGTAGATGAGTATTCTGAATAAAACACGTGAGTCCGTTCAGATAAAGACAGAAATGTAATACAGCTTGAAAGCCCTTTGGCACTGGTAAAAAGATCATTTAAATGAAATGAATTAAGATATTCTTAGTGCTTAGATATTAAAAAAAAACTCTGAAAGATATATACTAAGCAAATTAAAGTTTGTGGGAGTCTTGTTTTGGTTTTAAGAATGACCAAAAAAAAAAAAAACCAAACCCTAATATAATGTTAAAATAAATATGAACTTGATTTTAAAATGTGGCCATGCTAATGAGGTGACTTTTGGAAAGCACTTGAGGATGGGGACTGGTTGCCAGGGAAACCAACC